ACTCGACCACTGAGCCACATCCCCAGCCCTTTCTTGTATCTTATTTAGAGAAAGGGTCTCACTGAGTGGCTTATGCAAAAGCTTTTGAATTTGATGCTACCCTATTTGTTAACTCTTGGCATCATTTCCTGTGCCTTAGGGGTCCTATTGAGAAAGATGTCACCTGTGCCTAAAAGCTGGAATGTTGACCCTACATTTTATTCTAGGAGTTGCATAGTTTCTGGTCTAAGTCCAAGGTCTTTGATCCATTTTGAGTTGATTTTTGTGCAGGGTGAGAGAGAAGGGTCTAATTTCATTCTTCTACATATTGATAACCAGTTGTCCTAGCACCAAAAGGTTGTCTTTTCTCCAATATATATTTTGGCACCTTTGTCAAGGATCAGATGACTATAGATGTATGGGTGTATCTGCATCTTCCATTCTGTACCACTGTGTCCAGTTTTATGTCAGTACCTGCAGTTTTTGTTACTATAGGTCTGTAGTATAATTTGAAGTCAATTATTATGATGCCTCCACATTGCTTTTTTGGCTTAAAATTGCTGTGGCTATCCTGGGTCTTTTATTCCAAATGAATTTTAGGACTGGTTTTTCTAGTTTCTTCTGTGAAGAAGTCATGGTAGTATGGGCATTTTAACAATATTAATTTTGCCTATCCATGAACATAGGAGGTCTTTCCCTCTTCTGAGGTGGTCTTCACTTTCTTTCTTCGTTGTTCTATAATTTGCATTGTAGAGGTCTTTCACCCCCTTGGTTAGATTTATTCCTGGGTTTGTTTGTGGGTTTTTCTGTTTGTTTGTTTGTTTGGTTGGTTGGGTTTTTTTTTGGTTTTGAGTCTATTGTGAATGGAATTGTTTTCCTGATTTCTTTCTCAGCAGATTCATTGTTGGTATATAGGAAAGCTATTGATTTTTTTTTGTATGCTGAATTTGTAATCTGCTACTTTGCCAAATTTATTAATTCTAGTAGTCTTTTGGTGGATTTTTTTGGATTTTCTAGCCATAGAACCATACCATCTACAAACAGTTTGACGTCTTCCTTTTCTAGTTTTATCTGTTTATTTCCTTCTCTTGCCTAACTGCTCTAGTTAGAATTTCTAGCACTATATTAAATAGGAGTGGTGAGAGTGGACATCTCTGCCTTGTTCCAGAGTTAAAGAAAATGCTTTCACTAAATTTACTATGTGGTTGGTTTTCGGTTTTTTCATATAAAGCCCTTAGGTTGATGAGGTAGGTTCCTTCTATCCCTAATTTCTTCAGTGTTTTGTTTTGTTTTATCATGAATGGGCACTGAATTGTTGAAGGCCTTCTCTGTATCTGTTGATTACTAAGTGATTTTTTTTACCCTTAATTCTGTTTATGTGATAAATTACATTTATTGATTTGCATATTTTAAACCATTCTTTCATTTCTGGCATAAAACTAACTTGTTCATGGCATACAATATTTTGTTTAACATGATTTCCTAATATTTTAAGTATTTTTACATTTAAGTTCATCAGGGATATTGGTCTGTAGTTTTCTTTCCTTAATGTGTCCTTATATGGTTTTGGTATAAACATGATATTGGCTTCATAGAATGACTTTGGAAGTGTTCCATCCCTTTCTATTTGATGGAATAATTTGATGCATTAGTTATTCTGGTAGAATTCAGCTGAGAATCCATCTGTTCCTCAGCTTTTCTTTGTTGGAAGGCTTTTTATTACTGCTTGTATGTCATTATAAGTTATTGGTCTGTGTAGGTTTTCTATGTGATCTTGATTCAGATTTGGCAGATTATATTTGTCTAGAATATAATACTCATTTCTTCTAGGTTTTCTAATTTAAAGGAGTATAAGTTTTCAAAATAGTCTCTAATGATCTGCTGGATTTGAGTGAGATATCTATGGTGATTTCTCCTTTTTCATCTCTTAATTTTATTAATTTGGGGTTTCTTTTTCTTTTGATTTAGCTGAGGGCTTATCAATTTCATTTCTTTTCAAAGAACCAACTCTGTTTCATTGATCCTTTGTACTTTTTTTTATTATCAAGTTCATTGATTTAAGCTTTGGTCTTAAATATTTCCTTCCACTGGTTTTGGAATTGGTTCTTCTTTCTAAAGGGCCTTGAGATGCATCATTAGGTTGTTTATTTGGGATCTTTCGGATTTTCTTATGTAGGCACTCACAGCTATAAACTGTCCTCTTAGAACTGCCTTCATAGTGTCCCAGAGGTTCTGGTATCTTGTATCATTATTCTCGTCCAAGAATTTTTTTACTTTCTCCCTTGATTTCTTCTATCACCCATTCATTATTCAAGACTCCATGTATTTATATAAAGCTGGAATGTTGACCCTACATTTTATTCTAGGAGTTGCATAGTTTCTGGGTTTTTAAATATTTTTTAGTTGTAGTTAGACACAATACCTTTATTTAATTTATGTGGTGTTGAGGATCGAACTTAGGGTCTCTCACATGCTAGGTGAGCACTCTACCGCCGAGCCACAACTACAAACCCTATTTCTGTAGGGTTTTGTTGTGTCGATTTCTAATCCTATTATAACATGATAAGATGTAAGGAATCATATCATTTTTTTTTGTATTTTTGTGCTAAAATATGCTCTGTTTGGAGAAGGTTCCATGAGCTGCTGAGAAAAAAGCATTCAGCTATTGTTGGATGAAATATTCTGTAAATTCTGTTAGATTCATTTAATTTATAGTATTTTTCAGGTCTAAAGAGTTTTTACTGGGTTTGGATGACCTATATAATGATAAGAGATGTGTATTGAAATCACCCAGTATTATTGTGCTGGGGTTATCTGAGGCTTTAATTTGAGTAGTCTCTCATATGCAATTAGTTGCACCCATGTTAGGAACACAAGTATTTATAATTATTATATCTTTTTGGATTGCTCCCTTTACCAATATGAAGTGAACTTCTTTGTCTCTTCAGATTAATTTTGGTGTGAAATCTGTTTTGTCAGATGTGAGAGTAGCTACTCCTGGTTGTTTGGGGGCTCCATTTGCATGGTATATTAATTTCTATCCTTTTACTTTCAGCCCATGGCTGTCTTTGCCTATAAGGTGTGTCTCTTGCAAACATATAGTTAAGTCTTGCTTTATTCATTCTGCCAGCCTATCTCTCTCTTTAATTTTTTTTTATTTGTAGATGGACACAATACCTTTACTTTACTTATTCATTTTTTTATGTGGTGCTGAGGATCGAACCCAGTGCCTCACATGTACAAGGCAAGCACTTTACCACTGAGCCACAACCCCCGCCCCAACCTATCTCTTTTAAGTGGAGAGTTGAGACCATATGCATTTGATGTTATTATAGAGATGTTAATTCCTGCCATTTGATTTATTTATTGTGTTTAATCTGGTCCTATTTCTCATTTGCTTAGCTACTCTTCAAATGAGATTTGTTCTTTTGTGAGCTCTGAGGTTTTTTTATTCTGTATGTAGTATTTCTGTAAGTTCTATAGTGCTAGTTTAGTAGTCATGAATTCTTTTAGTTTCTGCTTATCTTGGAAGGTTTTTATTTCATCGTTGATTTTTGAATGATAGCTTTGCTGTATATAGCAGTCTTGCTGACAGTTATTTTCTTTCAGGACATGGAATAAATTGTTCTAAGCCTTCCTGACTTGTAGTATTTGCACTGAGAAATCAGAAGTGATTCTTATAGGCTTGCCTCTAAATATGACTTGAAGTTTTTCTCTTGAGGCTTTTAAAATTCTATCCTTGTTCTGTATGTTAGGCATTTTAATTTAATTATGTCATGGAGAGGTTCTTCTTTGATCTTGTCTATTTGGGGTTCTGAATGCCTCCTGTATCTGAAAAAAATAATTTATTAAGTGAATTCAATTTTTTAAATAAGAAATGTAGCACCTTGGTAGGGCACTTGTCTAGCATGCTGGAGGCCCTGGTTTCATCCCCAGTATCCAAAAAAAATAAAAATAAAAATAACAACAATGCCACCTAATATTTTAAAGCACTTACAATTTTTCAAACCTCTCCCCCCTCCCTCCCGCCCCCCATATATATAATCTCTCTCTCTCTCTCTCAGGATAAATGTCATTCCCATTTGAGAGGTGAGAAAACCAAATCAGAGGTTAAATGACTTGATCAAAACTGGGCAGACTGTCAGTAGTAAGGCTAGGACCCAGGCCAGTCAAAACAAAATTACAAAGCTTCTTTTCAAAAATCAGGGAAAAGATACCTTTAAAGATACCATAAATATAAGTATTTTTCTTTTAAAAATGTCTTTTTTGAAAAATGTAATTAGGATAATAGTTATACATGAATAATATAAACAAACATTAAAAAGTATTTTTGATGTTATAATTGTATATAATATAATATATAATATTTTACAAATATGTGATATCTTGATTATAAGATTTATTTGCTTTTCTAAAAATTCATTTGTTAGATTATCAAAATTTATATTTCAAATTTAATCAATATAACTGAAAAGTAATTTTACTTGCCAAGTAAAATAAGACAATTTTCATTTTGAGAAGGGATGTTTTTGCTGATATAACTGTGAAGGAAGCTATTAAGGATATTTTCTTCCCATTTCTTGGTGCCTAAAATATCTTTGTGTATGGTAAAACAAATGTTAACATAGTATCTATAATTTTAACCATTTCTGAGTGTATAATGTGGTGGCAGTAAGTGTAATCATACCACCATCCATCTTCAGAACTTTTTCATTATCCCAAACTTAAAGTCTGTACCCACCAGGCATGGTCACCTTTAATCCTAGGAGGTTGAGGCAGGAGGATTGTGAGTTCAAAGCCAGCCTCAGCAACAGTGAGGCCCTAAGCAATTCAGTGAGACCCTGTCTCTAAATAAAATACAAAATGGAACTGGGGGATATGGCTCAGTGGTTGGGTGTCCCAGAGTTGAGTCCCCTGTACACACACACAAAAGTCTAAACCCATTAAACAACTTTTCATTTCCCTTTCCCTATTCTCTGACAGTTTCTTATTTCTCATTCTTATGAATTGCTAGTCTATTATATTCTTCATATAAATGGAATCACGCAAAATGTGTCCTTTTGTCTGACTTATTTCACTTAGCATGTTTTCAGGTTTATCCATGTGGTATATATCAGTACATTTTTGTAGATAATGCTGCTATGAATATTTGTGAACAAATACTCGTTTGAGTTTCTGCTTTTTAATTCTTTGGGCTATATCTCTAGGATAGGACTTTTTGGAACATATAATAATTTTATGTCAAACTGTGTGTGTGTGTGTGTGTGTGTGTGTGTGTGTGTGTGTGTGTGTGGTCGGTCTTGAGAACTGAACCTGGGGCTTTGCACATGCTAGGCCTGTTAACTTTTTGAAGAAATGTCATAGGATTTTTTTTTTTTTTGTAACAGGGATTGAACTCAGGGGCACTCAACCACTGAGCCACGTTCTCAGCCCTATTTTGTATTTTAGAGACAGGGTCTCACTGAGTTGCTTAGCACCTCACATTTGCTGAGGCTGGCTTCAAACTCATGATTCTCCTGTTTCAGACTCCTGAGATACTGGGATTACAGGTGTGTGCCACCACACCTGAATGTCATAGGACTTTTCACAGTGGCTACACCATTTTTATATCACTGGTGAGAATATAAGATTCCAATTCTTCCACACTTTTTTTTTTTTTTTTTGGTAACAGAAGAACTGAACTTGGGGGTACTTAACCATTAAGCCACATGCCCAGCTCTATTTTGTATTTTATTTAGAAACAGGGTCTCACTGAGTTGCTTAGCATCTCGTTGTTGCTGAGGCTGGCTTTGAACTTGGGATCCTCCTGCCTCAGTCTCCTGAGCTGCTGGGATTATAGGCATGTGCCACCATGCCTACCTCCACATTCTCATTAATGCCTACTACTATCCTTTTTTTTTTTTTTTTTGTAACTTTCTTAATGGGTATGAGGCAGTATCTCATTGTGGTTTTGACTTGCATGTACCTAAGAATTAGTGATGCAGGGCATCTTTGCATGTGTTTGACTGTATATCTTGTTTGGAGAAATGCCTATTCCTGTCCTTTGCCCATTTTTTAACTACTTTTATTTTTTAAATACATGACAGAGGAATGCATCACAATTCTTATTACACATATAAAACACAATTTTCATATCTGTTTGTATATAAAGTATGTTCTCACCAATTCATGTCTTCATACATGTACTTTGGATAATGATGTTCATCACATTTCACCATCATTGCTAACCCCCTGACCTCTCCCTTCCCCTCCCACCCCTCTGCCGTATCTAGAGTTCGTCTATTCCTCCTATGCTCCCTCTCCCTACCCCACTATGAGTCAGTCACCTTATATCAGAGAAAACATTCGCCATTTGTTTTTTGGGGGATTGGCTAACTTTACTTAGTATTATCTTCTCCAACTGCATCCATTTACCTGCAAATGCCATGATTTTATTCTCTTTAATTGTTGAGTAATATACTATTGTGTATATATGCCACATTTTTAAAATCCATTCATTTACTGAAGGGCATCTAGGTTGGCTCCACAGTTTAGCTATTGTGGATTGTGTTGCTATAAACATTGATGTGGCTGTGTCCTTGTAGTATTCTGTTTTTAAGTCTTTTGGGTATAGTCCAAAGAGAGGAATAGCTGGGTCAATGGTGGTTCCATTCCCAAGTTTCCAAGGAATCTCCATACTGCTTTCCATGTTGGCTGCACCAATTTCAGTCCCACCAGCAGTGTATGAGTGTACCTTTTTCCCCATATCCTCGCCAACACTTATTGTTGTTTGTCTTCAAATAGCTGCCATTCTGACTGGAGTGAGATGGTATCTTAGAGTAGTTTTGATTTGCATTTCTCTAATTGCTAGAGATGATGAACATTTTTTCATATATTTGTTGATTGATTGAATATCCTGTTCTGAGAAGTTTCTGTTCATGTCCTTGGCTCATTTATTGATTGGGTTATTTGTTGGTTTTTTGTTTTGTTTTGTTTGATGTTTAGCTTTTTGAGTTCTTTGTATACCCTAGAGATTAGTGCTCTATCTGATGTGTGAGGGGTAAAAATTTGCTCCCAAGATGTAAGCTCTCTATTCACCTCACAGATTGTTTCTTTTGCTGAGAAGAAACTTTTTAGTTTGAGTCCATCCCATTTATTGATTCTTGGTTTTAATTCTTGCGCTATAGGAGTCTTATTAAGGAAGTTGGGGCCTAATCCCACATGAAGATTAGGGCCTACTTTTTCTTCTATTAGATGCAGAATCTCTGGTTTAATTCCTAGGTCCTTGATCCACTTTGAGTTGAGTTTTGTGCATGATGAGAGATAAGGGTTTAATTTCATTTTGTTGCATATGGATTTCCAGTTTTCCCAGCACCATTTGTTGAAGAGACTATTTTTTCTCCAATGCATGTTTTTGGTGCCTTTGTCTAATATAAGATAATTGTAATTTTGTGGTTTAGTCTCTATGTCCTCTATTCTGTACCATTGGTCTACCAGTCTGTTTTGATACCAATACCATGCTGTTTTTGTTACTGTGGCTCTGTAGTATAGTTTAAGGTCTGGTAGAGTGATGCCACCTGCTTCACTCTTCCTGCTAAGGATTGCTTTAGCTATTCTGGGTCTCTTATTTTTCCAGATGAATTTCATGATTGATTTTTCTATTCCTATGAGGAGTGCCATTGGAATTTTGATTGGGATTGCATTGAATCTGTTTAGTGCTTTTGGAAGTCTGGTCATTATGATAATATCAATTCTGCCTATCCAAGAGCAAGGTAGATCTTTCCATCTTCTAAGGTCTTCTTTGATTTCTTTTTTTAGGGTTCTGTAGTTTTCATTGTATAGTCCTTTCACTTCTTTAATTAAGTTGATTCCCAAGTGTTTTTTTTTTTTTTTTTGAGGCTATTTAAATGGGGGTAGTTTTCCTCATTTCCCTCTCAGAGGATTTGTCACTGATATACAGAAATGCCTTTGATTTATGGGTATTTATTTTATAACCTGCTACTTTGCTGAATTCATTTATTAGTTCTAGAAGTTTTCTGGTGGAGCTTTTTGGATCTTGTAGGTATATAATCATATTGTCAGCAAATAATGCCAATTTAAGTTTTTCTTTTCCTATACATATCCCTTTAATTTCTTTCTTCTCCCTAATTGCTCTGGTCAGTGTTTCAAGAACTATGTTAAATAGAAGTGGTGAAAGAGGGCATCCCTGTCTTGTTCCAGTTTTTAGAGGGAATGCCTTTAGTTTTTCTCCATTTAGAATGATGTTGGCCTGGGGCTTAGTGTAGATAGCCTTTACGATGTTGAGATATGTTTCTGTTATCCCTAGTTTTTCTAGTGTTTTGAACATAAAGGGGTGCTGTATTTTGTCAAAATACAGCTTTTTCTGTGTCTTTTGAGATGATCATATGATTCTTACCTTGAGTTTATTGATGTGATGAATTACATTGATTGATTTTCATATGCTGAACCAACTTTGCATCCCTGGGATGAATCCCACTTGATCATGGGGCATAATCTTTTTGATATGTTTTTGTATTTGATTTGCCAGAATTTTATTGAGAATTTTTGCATCTATGTTCATTAGAGATATTGGTCTAAAGTTTTCTTTCTTTGATGTGTCTTTGCCTGGTTTTGGAATCAGGGTGATATTGGCCTCATAGAATGAATTTGGAAGTGCTCCCTGTTTTTCAATTTCCTGAAATAAATTGAAGAGTATTGGGATTAGTTCTTCTTTAAAGGTCTTGTAGAATTCGTCTGTGTATCCGACTGGTCCTGGGCTTTTCTTGGTTGGTAAGCTTCTGATGGTGTCTTCTATTTTATCACTTTATATTTCTCTGTTTTAATTGTGTATACTTCCTGATTCAATATGGGAAAATCGTATGACTTAAGAAATTTGTTGATGCCTTCAATATTTTCTATTTTATTGGAGTATAAGTTTTCAAAATAACTTCTAATTATCCTCTGTATTTCTGTAGTGTCTGTTGTGATATTCTCTCTCTCCTTCTCTTTGTTAGCAGTAGCTAAGGTTCTGTCAATTTTATTTATTTTTTTCAAAGAACCAACTTTTTGTTTTGTCAATTTTTTCAATTGTTTGTATTTCATTGATTTCAGCTATAATTTTAATTATTTCTTGCCTTTCACTGCTTTGGCTGTTGATTTGTTCTTCTTTTTCAAGGGCTTTGAGATGTAAAGTGAGGTCATTTGTTTGACTTTTTCTTCTTTTAAGGAATGAACTCCATGCAATGAACTTTTCTTTTAGTACTGCTTTCATAGTGTTCCAGAGATTTCGATATGTTGCGTCTATGTTCTCATTTACCTCAAAGAATTTTTTAATCTCCTCTTTGATGTCTTCTGCAACTCATTGTTCATTCAGTAGCATATTGTTTAGTCTTCAGGTGTTGGAGTAATTTTTATTTTTTATTTTGTCATTGATTTCCAATTTCATTCCATTATGATCCGATAAATTGCATGGTAGTATCTCTACTTTTTTGTATTTGCCAAGAGTTGCTTTGTTGCAAAGTATATGGTCTTTTACCCATTTTTTAGAAAATATTTATTAGTTGTAGATGGACCCAATACCTTTATGTGGGGCTGAGAATTAATCCCAATGCCTCACACATGCACTCTACTAGTGAACCACAACCCCAGGCCCCTTTGCCAATTTTTAAATTGGGTTTTTTGTTATTGTCGTTAAGTTTTAGAGGTTCTTTATGTATTCTGGTATTAGTTTCTTATCAGTTACATGAAGTGCAAATATTTTCTCCAGTTCTGTGGGTTGCCTTTCACTCTCAATTGTGTTCTTCAATGTGAAATTTTTAATTTTAAATTTTTATAAAATCCAACCTTTTCATTTTCTGTCCTTTCTATGTCATAGTCATATCCAAGAAAGCAAATCCAAGGTCATGAAGATCTTCCTGTTTTGATTGAGTTTTATAGTTCCTTTTTTTTTTTTTTTTAAATAGCATGATAGTTTCACTTATTGCTGGGATTAAGGTCAGAGCATAATTTGGAATTGTGGCTCTTTTGGGTTGGCAGGAATATTAAAGTTCATCTTAACAACAGCTCTTCTGATGTTTAACTCTACCCCTGACCCCCAGAATTGATCCATTTTCTTGGTTGCTTTAGAGTTACCTATAATATTTTTAGTGTGTAAGCAGGGAGTGATTATTTAGTTTGAGAATTTAAACATGCTTTCTCCTTATATAAATTCCATTGTCAACTAGGAATTTTTCTCAGAATTGCAAAGAATAAAGCAAATGTATTCCTGCTGTAAGAGGATTGTTAAACCCAAACTCTTGGATGGAAGGATCTCTGTATTTAAAGGGTTTATTGAACAGTTATGGATGTTACCCAGCAAAAGGACCAGGTCCTGGGACAAGTTCCCCAACTACCCGCAGCAGGGCTGAGACATGGTGGGACGTGTGTCTGTCAAACCTGGAGCTAAGAGTATTCCTATTTGAGGAAGGAAAGTGTAAGTTGTTTACATTGAACCTACATAGGCTGTAGATAGGAGGGGCAGCTCAGCAGGCAGCAGGGAGAGCTTTCGGAGAGGAAGTGGTCCCAAAGAAGCCATGGTTGCCTCAGGAATGGCTAGGGTTAACAGGGAAGCTTTTACGTAAGCAGGGCATTGTGGACCCCATGGGATTTAAGGCAAGGTTTCAACATACATTTAGGGAAACAGTCTTTGCTGGATTTAATCTTAGCTGTAAACTGATTAACTTCTCTTATCTCTCCCCACCCCTCACCCCCTGTCCAAACTCATCCTCTGGCTCTTAGAATTAAGTTTACAACATCTCAGAATTTTTTTCAGAATATGCAATACTCCTTTCTTTTCTGACTTGTTTCTATCTAGATTCTAAGGTTGGCTTCTAATGTGATGCATTAATCTTGTGTCAAGAGTCAATTTTTGAAAGAGAAATAAAAGATTGTTGTTGGAACAGATTAAAAATGAGTCATTTATTTACAAAATGGTTCTTTTTCAATACCTTGGAAACAAATGCAGCCACAAGAACAGGGTAATTCAGAACGTCAATCCTAGGAATTCTAGTTACACTCTTCATCTCTTTCCGTCAAACCCCTGGGCTCCAAATGTTTTCATCCCTCCACAAATTTCTCTGCCTCTTTTTACTTCCTGTGGAAATGGTCAGAAATCCTTTATATATGAGAAAGGATTGAAAGTAATGAGACCCTAGACCGATTTCATCAATAATGCTAATGAATGTTCACCTTCAAAGTCAGTTTTGGCTGAGTGTGGTGGCGCATGCCTGTAATCCCAGTGGCTCAGGAGGATCTCAAGTTCAAAGCCAGCCTCAGCAATGGTGAGGCGCTAAGCAACTTGGTGAGACCCTGTCTCTAAATAAAATACAAAATAGGGCTGAGGATGTGGCTCAGTGGTGGAGTGCACATGAGTTTGATCCCCAGTAATTCCCCCCAAAAGTTAGTCAATTTGGGAATCCAGACGGTTATCCTGGTGCTAAAAGTTGGTCAAATTTTTTTTAGAACTCGTTCATGAGTCAAGTATGCTGTTCTCTTGATCAGTGGGGCTAGATCTGTGCATAGTTCTCAGTCTTGTTTCACATTTAGGAAATTGTTAAAATATGTCCAGTTTCATTTCTAGAAATTCTAATTGGTGTGGGGGTGGATCCATTTTGAGTTAATTTTTCTGTATGGTATATAAAGGATCTTGTTCATTTTTTTGCATAGGGATATCCAGTTTTCCCATTTGTTGTCAAGACTGTTCTTTCACCATTGAATGGTCTTGGCAGCCTTGTCAAAATCATTTGACCGTATATATGTGGACCCTTTATTCCATTCCATTTCTCTGTTTATCCCTAAGCCAACACCATACTGTTTTGATTGCTTTAGCTTTGTGGTATGTTTTGAAATCACGAGTCCTTCAACTTGTTCTTTATCAAAGATGTTTTTGCTACATGAAACGGTGTTTATCTGTCACATGCAGTTTCTGTATTAATTGAAATGATCATGTTTATTTTCCCTTTTTCTATGACTATGGTATAGTACATTGGTGTATTCCAGGAATAAATCTCCCTGGGTCATGGGATATAAACCTTTTAAATTTGTGGTAGAGTTTGATTTGCTAGTATTTTATTAGGGATATTTTCATCAATGTTCATAAGGGATATGGGTTGGTAGTTCTCATATCTTTGGCTTTGGGATTAGAGTAATGCTGTACCCTTAGTATAAGTTAGGAAGTGTTCCCTCCTCTTGATTTTTGAGATGAATTTGAGAAGGATTGGTGTTAACTCTTTAAATTTTTTGTAAAATTTATCAGTGAGGCCATCTGATCCAGGGATGTTCTTTGTTGTAAAGTTTTAGATTCAGTCCCATAGTAATGATAGATTCAGAATTTGTTTCTTCTTTATTCAGTCTTGGTAGATCTCGTGTGTTAGGGGAGTTGTACCTTTCATCTAGGTTATCAAATTTGTATACAGTTGTTGGTGTTTCCTATAACCCTTTTTATTAAAATTTGGAATTTTAGTAATTTGTCTTCTTTTTTTAGTCATTCTAACCAAAGGTTTGACAATTTTATTTCTATAGAATCAACTTTGGTTTTGTTTTTTCTCTATTTTTTCTATTCTCTATTAATCTCTGTCCTAATTTTACTATTTCCTTCTTCCTGCTAGTTCTGAGTTCAATTTTTTTCTAGTTCTTTAAGGTATAAAGTTAGGTTATTTATTAGAGGTCTCCAGGTTTTTGAGCACGTGTGTGCAGCTATAAACACTCCTCTTAGCTCTGCTGCTGTTGTTCCCATAAGTTTGGTGTATTGTTTTTGTTTTTATTCCTCTCAAGGTATTTTCTAGTTTCTATAGTGATTTTGGGCCACAAAACAAGACTTAAATTTTAAAAGGCTGGAGTCATACTAAATACCTTTTCCACTCCAAATGAAGTGAGCCAGGGTGTGGTGGTGTGTGGGAGCCACATTGAGTGACCACGCCTTCCAGTCCTGACGCACCATGGCGATCTGAAAGATCACTGTAGTCTGGCCTGGTAGTGCCGGGACTTGTTATTAGGTCTTTTCTCCCTGCTCAGATAGCAAGGAGGCCCTCTTTGTGGGAAGTGCCCCTAGGGTTGAGTTACACCCACCTGTTCCCTTGAGTCCTGCCCCTTCTGCCCTTTTTTGGATAGAACTTTCTAAGAACAAGAGTCCCCCCCATAAAGCTCACTTCTGAATGTGTTCTTTTTCTCTCGTCAGCCTCTCCTGACTTTCTCTTGCTCTCCCTTTTGGGGAGGCTGAGGCTGAGAGCCGGGGGAACCGTCCTGAAGCTTGTGTAAAGGCAAATTGTGACTCTGTTTTATTTGGTGTCCCTGCAAATTCACACGAGTGACCTTAGTTCAGCTGCCTGTGCTGGTCAGGGGGCGGCAGTGACTGCACACCTATGATCCCAGCAGCTGGGGAGGCTGAGGCGGGAGGATCACAAGTGAGTGGAGGGTTCTGTGCATGTCTGGTAGGCCTAATTGTTTTATAGAGTTGCTCAAGTCCTCTGTTTCCTTAGTGATCTTCTGTCTGGTTCTTCTATCCATTACTGCAATCGAGGTACTAAATTCCACAATTGTAGAACTCTTTCTCCTTTCAATTCTGCCAATTGATACTTAAAATATATATATATTTGGTTGTAGATAGACACACTATATTAATTAATTTATTTATTTGTATGTGGTGCTGAGGATTGAACCCAGTGCCTCACACATATGAGCCTAGCACTGTACCACTGAGCTACTGCCCCAGCCCCTAATTGATACTTTTTTTCCTGAGCTCTGATATGAGGTACATAATATGCCTATACTTGTTATGGCTTCTTAGTGAATTGACTCTTTTATTAATATTTGATGTTCTTCTTTATCTCTGGTAATAGTTTCTTATCTGGAGCCTGTTTTGACTGTCATTAGGATAGACATCTCCACTCTTTTATTTGCATGGAATGTATTTTTATATTGTTCATTTTCAGCCTATATTTATTTTTTTAAAAAATTTTAGTGCATTGTAGTTATACATAATAGTGGGGTTCATTCTGACATATTCATAAATACATAGAACAGGTTTTTTTTTTTTTTCCATTACAATTGCCAGTGCTATCCCTTTCACTCCTCTGGGCTGTGGCTGTGGCTCAGTGGTAGAGCGCTTGCCTAGCACCTGCGAGGCACTGGGTTTGATCTTCTATTTATTTTTAATTGGTGCATTGTTGTGTTCTGTGACTAAACACTCGGGGTCACTCCAGGTGAACTGGATTACAGGAAATAATCGCCCAGAGATAGAAAAATACTTTTTTCTTTGGGTCCTGTGATGGCTCCTCTGACCTTAGGGGGGGTCCATGGAAAGAGAGAGTGAGAGCCTGTACTGAACCCTTCTATGGGGAGAAGCCATTCAAATGAGGTAAGAGGTCAGGTTTCAGGGGGTTGAGTCTAGCTTCCTGATGTCTGCTGTCAGCTGGTTGACTGACATCTACAGAGGCCACGCCCATCTCAGGAGCTGTGTGAGGATCCTGGCAGAGCAAATGAAAAGACCAGAGCGAGGCCCCCCAAACAGAGGGGCAGCATGGGTTCAGTCCACTTGGTGCGCTCAGTGCTCATAGTCACACACACACAGCCGTGGCTGGCTTGCCACAGCTCCACACTCTCATCACTCAAGGCTAAGGGGCACTCGGTTCCTGTGTGGCAGCTCCCGACTGTGCATTATAGTTATACATAAAATTGGAATTATTGTGATCTTCGTACATGCACAGAGCTTAATTTGGTCAACTTCATTTCCTACTTCTTCCCATTTTCCTCCCCTCCGCTCTCCCCTGTGTCCCCTACTTTCGCTCTGCTGACCTCCATTCTGTTTTTGCAAGATCCCCCTTTTTATTCCTTTTGTCTTTCTAGTTTCTACATATTAGGGAAAACATTGAGCCCTTAACATTCTGCGTCTGGCTTATTTCACTTAGAAAGATGTTCTCCAGTTCAATCCATTTACCAGAAAATGTCATAATTTTATTCTTTATGGCTGAGTATAACTCCACTGTGTATATACCACATTTTCTTGTCTGTTCATCTATCGCTGGGCACCTAGGCTGGTTCCATAACTTGGCTATTGTGGATTGTCCTCTATAAACACTGGTATGCTTGTATTGCCATCCTATGATGATTTTTAGTTCTTTGGGATAAATACCAAGGAGTGGGATAGCTGGGTCACATGATGGTTTCTCTCCTAGTCTTTTGAAGAATCTTCATACTGCTTTCCAAAGTGATTACAATCCCACCAGCCATGTGTTAAGTATACCTTTTACCCACATCCTCACCAGCAATTATCATATATTTGTATTCTTGATGATTGCCATTCTAATTGGGGTGAGATTAAATTTGTGTATTTTTTTATTTACATCTCCCTTATTGTTAGGGTGTTGAATTTTTTTTTCAAATTTGTGGCACATTTGCATTTCTTTTTTTGAAAAATGTCACTTTAGATCTTGTGCCCATTTATTAAGTGGGTTATTATTTTGGGGGGGTTGTGGGTTTTTCTTTTTCTTTTTTTTAGAGAGAGAGAATTTTTTTAATATTTATTTTTTAGTTTTCGGC